GCACGATCATGCGCTGTGCTGTTATACTGTAATCCACTTTGCCAACTCGTATAAAACTGTTCCCTGCATATTCACTACGCCAAAGACAGTGACACCTTATCGCATTTCTGGTAGAAGACGTATTTAAAATTCGTCAGCAAGAGTACCTGACATGGCAGAAAATGCTCTAGAAAAAGAAATTCAATACATTGTTTCAATTTCCAAGTGATTTCGAGTCTTCTGATATGAATCGAAGTATACGTCATCCGTGAAAAAATATCTGACCTGGATTGCTTTAATCTTGGAGTCATTGAATTTCAACTGAGTTCTATATCTGAGCCGTTCACTGCACAAATTGATTAACTCCATAAAACAAGAAGTGGAGAAATGCAATGAAATAATGTATGTTGTTTTTTAAAATTCCCTTTATAATTTAAATCGAAATAAATATCGTAGAATGCATAAATACAAATATAACTTTCATCTAACGGTATATAAAATTTATAAGAAAAAACAGCCAAAAGGTAATCGTTAGTAATGTTACCATTTTTATGTTACTGGAAGAGTTAATCGATTTAGCAAGTGGAAAAAGTAATAAATTTAAATTTTACTAAATTTTACGTAAATTCTGATAAGATGGCACTAAAAAATTCACCGTTATCATTCAGGGCTTGCCAGCGCATTTGAGTTGCATTATCGCAACGATTTACATTAGAGTACGGAGTTAATCAAAGTGACCTCTGAAATAAATTATTTATTATTCAGTGGCCAAAAAATTTTTGTCGTTTAATGGTGTTAATCTTAATTATCAGGGAAAGTTACTATAAATATAAAAAGTTATGACTATACATATGACTATACTATGCGCTTTGACACTTAAATTTAAGATTTTTCAAAAAGTGGAGTTAATCGATTTGTGCAGTGAACGGCTCATCTGACATAATATATCTCCTATTTGTACATATTTCTGGTGTGAAATAGCTAGATACGATATCAGAAAAGGTACTTGAAATTTCGAATAAATAAATAAATAAATAAAAGTAACAAGTTATTTACAATTTCTTTTGTAAATGTGAGGAAGAATTTAAAAACGAATACTTATTTTTATAAAGTCACGTTATCATGAAATAAAAATATAAAAATAAGCATTTCTATTAATGTTTTAGACAATAAAATTATTTTTAAATGTATTTTCGACTTTTACAAAGTTTGATTTTTAAAATATCGAAAATCGATAAAAGGATTTATTGGAACCTATTTTTCTTAAAAAAGAAAGGTTATAACATATTTGAATTATTATGTTAATTTTTTTTTTAAATATAATTATTTCCAATTTTTGAAAAACTTCTATATATAATATATTTAAATATTCTTTAATATATTTATCACGATCAATATAATTTTCTATAAAATTCCAAAGAAATAATTCCTTGATTTTATTCCTTTTACAAGGTTTGAGTTTTAAAATATCGAAAATCGATAAAAGAGTTCATTGAAACCTATTTTTCTTAAAAAAGAAAGGTTATTATAACATTTTTAGATTATTATGTTAATTTTGTTTTTAAATGTAATTACTTCCAATTTTTGAAAAATTTTTATATAAAATATTTAATATTCTATAATATGTTTATCACGAATAATATAATTTTCTATAAAATTCCAAAGAAATAATTCCTTGATTATCTTTTGAAACAAGTTTAAAATTCATTGGCTTAAAATATCATGCTGATTCAATATCCTTCCACAGTCGTTCAGTATTAAAATTATTCCTCTGATCATTCGGGAACAGTTCTATTTTGATTTATGTCACAGTGATTTATTCCGGACGGAATAATTTTGTAATATTCATTCACTCAAATATAGTTCATCGTCCTATCTATTTTCTGTGTCACAACGTACATTTATCCCTCCGGATATATAACGAGGAGCAAACTAAAATCGTACTTCAACGTCGACAAATTCGTCCAGAAATCCTGAATTATTTAGTCGACACGAAGCTGCCTTTTTTCCTGGATATTCCGGACAGTTTTCCAGGAGTTCCTGGGTAAACTTTCCGTACACAATTTCCTGCTTCACGAACATTGTCAAATCGTGTTATGCGCCCTGTCCTATTATTTTTCTCGACAGCCGGATGAATTCGTTCATGAATCTCAGAACTAGCTGAATTTATCACTCCAATCCGAACGTCAGTTTCCAGTAATATCATTTTTGATATTTATTTCTCGAGTGATACATTTTTCTAATAACTTCGATTCCTGCAGATAAATTATCGACGAAGATAGTTGGTCCAACTGCAGATAATTCCACGAATAATTTTATTTTTATCACTTTCTTTTAGAACGAAGAATGGTTGAATGGTTTAGTGTCTGAGCCCAAATATGGAATTTTTACAGGAAGAATTTTGAAAAAGATATGAAATTTGCGAGAAAAGATGAACGTAGGTAACAAAGTTATTGAAAATAAGATACGTCTTAACGTGTATATAAAAATCATTCTCTTAGGAGAAATAGATATATCTTTGACCTATGCACCGAAGAGATTTCAGGAATCCCCTAATTCTTATATAAGAATTAGTGAACCATTACGAGCTGCAATTGCATACCCTTTTTCTTCACTCTAATTTTGATTGTCTACGCGAACAATCAGAATACTTGAGATATACCTTCCTTAGGATAGAATAAAGATAATTATAAAATAAAGATAGTTATTTCTTTTTACCCATAATCCCAATGAAAGTAAAGATAAAATATTTTTAAATTTTGGTTTGTCTTGTATTTATAAACTAAAATGGTAACTAACTGGTAATTATATTGTGGGGTGGATGCGGGAGGGATTCTTGGTGTGGTGGTGGTGTTAGAAGGAACGAAAGCAAAAGGAAGGGATGCGTTTCGTCCTGGGCCAGCTAGTGGACTCATTGATAAGGCTACCTAGCAGGCTCTGCCTTAAACAAGAAGTCTGAAGATTCTATTTGTTGCGGCCCTAGGACCGCAATGTCCCAGGTCAAATGGAAGACTGGTTTATGTCCTTATTGTCAGTGTCCCTTGATTTGTATATACTCTTCGTCATCTAACCACCGCCTGGGTAAACCGTAACAGGGACCCAAATTATTTAAAGTTCCACCACCACAGAATGACACACATTCATCTCTTACATCTTATACAGATCAATCAGCAGACAGACGAACCTTATAAAACCACCGACAAGGCATTCACAAAGAGATTCTTCCTAAAAACTCTATCACGACCATACTATCATCATCGAGACCCACTAACAACTCAGCGCAGGAAACAGTTTACTATAGAACTCTCTGTAGTTCAACCATAATCAGGCTTAGCTCTATCAATTTAGAGTAGGTCGCATCCCAGCAACATTGCCGCAGCAGCGTAAACGGGCCTTCGGGATGCAACACTATTATATTATTCTATTCTATTAATATTAGATTATAATATATTATATTTATCTATTATATAATTCTAATATATAATAATAATAATATAGGAAACTTGTGAGATGGTCCTCGAAGCCCCGTTCAAGTAGGAATGCATCTATTAGCGAATAATGGAAATTTTGTCGTGAGCCCCTGAGCCTACCATTTAAAAAGTGGATGGTAGTAAAAGTTAATGGTGTTAACTCGATATGAAAACAGTTCTGAAATTTCGAGGAACAGAAGGATTGCAGAACGGAAGATATATCGTGGACCTTGATCTCCCTACGATAAATATTATCCACCCTCGGTCGCGTTGGTAACGAGATCGTATCTGACGGCGTTGCGTGTCATTTGCATATTTCAGCCGGAGGCGTCTGGTAGATCCTCGCTTTCGGCAATCCGAATGCAGGAGGGTGGTTCGATTTACATTTCGGTATCGGAACGGCGCTGTTACCCCAAGGTGGCTAACGTGGATCAAGCAGAGTGACAAGAGTAAACAACGTTTACGCGACTCTCACGTGGAGGAGACGTTGCTTTGTAATTAGATTTGCAAGATTTGCAGAATGTTGGTGAAGTGAGCAAACTGTATTATGTCAAAGATTACTTTTTCTTTTTTTTTTGTAACATGTTCCAGTAATTTGCAGATTGTTGATGAAATGATCATACTGCATTGTATAGTAAATTACTTTTATTTTTTTCCTGCATGATGTTCCAATGATTCGCATATTGTGATGAGGTGATCAAATTGCATAGTACAATAAATTATTTTTCTCTTTCCTGCATGGTATTCCGATGATTCGTAGATTATTGATGAGATGATCAAATTGTATTGTATAGCAAACTATTTTTATTTTTTCCTGCATGATATTCCAATGATTTGTAGATTACTGATGAAATAATCAAATTGCGTTGTATAATAAATTATTTTCTTTTTTCCTGCATTGTATTTTTTGTATTTAAAATTTTTTACAAGATGTTTCGATTATTTATAGACTGTTGACGAAGTGATTAATTTCACTGTGCCGTAAATTATGTTTTTGTAAGACATTTCAATAATTTGTAAAATGTTAATTGGGTGATTAATTGTATTATATTGTAAAATATTTTGTTATCACTATCTATTACACAGCAGGATTTGATTGATTAATGTCAATAGTTGATAGTTGAAGAATTAAGTAAAACATAAAAAGAGGCAAATGGATACATGGTATTAGGTTATTCCTATTTGACGTATCATATGTAATTAAATTTATTGTATTGTATTGCATAAGCTTCCAAATAAATTATTGCAAAAATAAATCTGTTCATAATGCCAATTTAAACGATTTCAATAATTCATATTTTATTAATTATGGAAGAAAAAATTACAAAATTCGAAATAAATTTATTTTCCATGAAAACTGGAAGATGTAGTATTTTCCTCCTGTTTATTTAGTATAGTAAGAAGTATTTAAATCTTTCCTTTAAACAACGTTGTACTTTCATACGTGTTTCCTTTTATCAATATTTCTGTTAGTAGTTTAGTCGAGGTAAACATTAAGACCATCGTCTCCGCGAGTTTCTTTAACAAAGAATAAACATTGCGACGACTTACCCTGGCAGGACTTGGCGAACTGTCCCTGGAGAGACTGCCGAGAGTCACCAATAAACGACGCGAAGCCCCCAACACTGAAGCCCGCCATCCCTCTGAAAAAATAAATACAGAAGCATGTTATTTATTGTACGACATTTTTGGGAGGTTTATACGACACGGTATTTGCTTTAAAGGACTTAAAAGTTTTTAATTATTTCTTATTTTCCAGGTATACCTACACACACACATGAAAATATACGAACGTTTACATATTCTATTCTTAACATGTGATATATACAAGTTAACTTCTTGCCCTATGTCTTACAAAAAGAGTACAAGACCTTCGGGTCATTGATTTAGTTGAAACTTTGCAGGTTTGTAGATTTTCCATATAGATGTTAGTGGTGGATGAAATATTAATAACAATAAGATCAATTCTTTATTCAATTACAAAAATGATCAAATACAAACAGTTATATTTGGCCCGATTTCATTACCACGAATTTACCTCACACGATAATGGAGGCGAAGGTGTAAATTGAGATATTTGAAACGATAATGACGTTCTTAGTAAGAAGGAAGTATCAAAATTATAGCAATAAAATTAAAAATAATTCAGTAATATGTATAGGATTCACAATATATTAATTAGAAATATGTTCCATTGGTTGATCGTAAAAAATATTCGAAAGCATTATATATTTGTTAAAAGTATCTTTAAATAAAAAGTAAGAAGTTTCAATGTTGCGTTGATTCATGTTTTATTGCTTATGATGGTCCTAAGAGGAGTTTCCACTAAACTCACTAGCGCCACCACGACCTGTATCTCGAATGAGTAGACTTTAAATATCGTATATATCGTTGAGTCATTTTTTAATTTTATATGCATAATGTGGGTATTTTTTTGTTACTATATCTACCATATCGTTGTAAACAATTTAATTTGACGTATGTGTATAATGATTGCAAATTATTTGGAGAATAAGGATCTCTGAAGTTGTGTAATTCATAGGTCATTGACTTACAACTAATACGGTATGATTTGTAGTTATTAAAATTTTAATACAACAGAATATTGATATTAATAACATTTCCTATTAGAAATATTAACATTGATGAAATTTACTGAAAGGACTATTAATACTAGCAAAATTTGTTGAAAGAAATATTAAAGCTACTAAAATTTGTTAATAGAAATATTAATATTAATAAAATCTATAGTCTGAAATATTAATACTGATTAAACTTATCCACAGAGATGTTAATATCAATAAAATTTTGAAATATTTTAATAGAAATTACGATATTCATAACATTAATAGTGTGTTGTGGACAAAATAAACACACAATTCTATATAAGTAAGTAACTATTATTTAATAAATAATTTGATTGCATTATAGCAGTACATAAATGGGAGAAACATAATTAACTTGGCAATTTAATATTGTTAATTCTCACAGTAAAAAATTTTTCATAAATTTCCAGTACTAGTTTTCTTAATAATATTCAGTAATATATATTAATATATTATAAATATAAATATGTAGAATGAATATAAAATATTAATTTCAATAACTGTTAAAGCACTATACGAATATTAAAATTTCAAAAATTTCTTTGCTTTATCTCGTACAATAAATCATATCAAAAGATGTATAACATCCTACTTGTTCTTCAGTTCAAAATTAAGGGGAAGATGGGGAGGGAAGATATGGCAATGTGCCTCCGTGAACAAACTGCTTAGGCGAACCCACGTTAAACTACTTTATTATGTACACGAGTACACGTATAGCCTCCTACGACTCGTAACTTTTCTATTTATTATTGAATTCGTGACAAAGTATGACTAAAGTAAAATACACAGTATATAATGAATTATTAATGCCATAATTGACCAAAGGTTCGCTGTCATAGCAGTAACTGAATATTAAATTTCGAAAAATATAGTTTATTTATACCAATTATTTGCTTTTGAAGAAATACTCCTATTTTTATAATAAAATACAAATATTTGTAATAATATATCCTTAATTTTATAATAAAATTAAAATAAAATAAGAGATAGAAAATTTAATTCTTTATGATTTATCACAATTTACTTGAAATTTACTCCGCGAATTCAAACAAGAAATGAAATATAAAATGCAATATGAGAATAAAATATAGTTTTAAAATATAGTTTTAAAATATAGTTTAAAATTTTTATATTTTATAAGCGAAATTCTCCCCATTTATTTTACTTATACATATTAAAACCGAATATGTAATATTTTTTAAAAATCTTATATTCAAACCAAACAATTCTCTTGTCAGAGAAGTATTATTCCTCCATTATACATATAATATCAAATTAAAATTTCTAGCAGCAAATAAAATTGTTTTACTTAAATTAATTACGTTAATTAAATTTTTTAATTCCAAGCAGAAAATATGCATCAGGTAGCGCATATCATAGACCCCCATAATAAGAGTAATTAACCCATAAAATAAACCCTTGGTTTAATATAAATTAATATTTCTCAAATTCTATTCCACGATATTCTTCATTCACCGGCACAAAAATTTCTTTCGCTAATAAATAATTTTAAATGCCCATTTAACGTGCAAAATTTTCTAAATCTCGTCTTAATAATACACTGCAACGATATTTAACGACCACCAACAGTCAGTTCCGAAACCCATAGAACGACCTAACACGTATCCTATCGCACGGCGATACTTACCCAAACGATCTGTTTTATCGCGTCGAATATTTACCATCGTGTGGCATAATGCGAATAAGAAAGCAGAATACAATATTGGTAGGGGAGCAATGACAGGGTAAGCCGCAGGGGAGTTTCATATTGCTGGATTAAGCGTTCAACTTCCACCTTCGACTCTGTTTCCTTCGCCGATGTCTTAAGCCTGGACCTGCTAAGTTATGGTCGCGACTTTCATTAAACGGCCGGATGACGGATCGCTTTGTCTCGTTTAGATTACGGTCGGCCATGAAAACGGATTTAATCATCACGGGAACACCCGATATTTGGTAGCCACCACCGCGCAAACTGATAAGATTCGTTTATGATATCGTCAAAATGTGTCTTTATGGGGTTGGAGTAATTAAAGAGAATTGTTTTCGTGATTGATGAGACTGGAAAAGCTTTTAGAAATAAAAGAATGATTAGCGTGTATTATTTTTGGCATTCGTTGTTTCGTTCCTTTTGTTCGGGTGATTATTCACTGTAATTTAAGGTGTGAATGAAAGTATTGGGGTGGAAGGTGATAGGAGATGATTGTTTGGATAAAAATAGATTAGAAATGAAGAATACAATTTTTCTGTTTGGCGCTTTGTTTTCGAGAAAATCAAGTTTGAAATTTTGGTGGTTGTGGTCTCTATTTGGATAGCTAAAATATTTAATTCACAAATTTAATTCATCATTTTTGATAAAACCTTTCTTTATGTCTTCTTGCGTGTAATAATTTATATACTGTATAGATTTCGTATATAAAAATAACAGATATTACAGTATTGTTCAAAACATTGTAATTTAGATATAATACATGCATGTACACCCCATGAATATTCGAAATCGATTTTCTCAAAAACTAAGCTTTGGATGAAAAGATTTCATTCATTCTAATTTCATTCTTTCATTTTTCATTTATTTTTGGAAGAATTATTGATTATCTCCTTATATATTAATTATTAATTGTTAATAAATTAGATAAATATAACAATGAAATTTGGAAGACAGAAAAATTAGTCAAGAGGCATTTTGTTAGAAAATTATACTCATTTTCTTAATACTATGCTATGAGGGTGCTATTTTACTATTTTTCCAATTGTTTAATTTATTCGTCCATTTTTTATTTAATTTACCACGAATTCTGCAGTGATAAAATTCAATTACCATGAATCACCGTAAAATTATTAATCATGAATAGATTGATTTAATCATTAAAATATAGAACTACTCGATAATTGATTATATTTTAATTATAATACAATAACATATTTATGATTTATTAGAAATCAAATGCAGAGATTTAATTAATAATTGAATTTGTATTTAATATGCACGAAATTGATGAAGATGTGATTACAGGAAGAAACATGAAACGCTATTACAGCTGTGCAATAGGATACGCTATAAATAATTATTATTTTCTTATTTTCGTTCATTTTACGCAAACGTATTAAAAAAATTGTTAAATTTTTATCCAGGCACAAACGTCTATCATTGTTCCTATTGTTTTAATCTACCACCTTTGATCAAAAGTAATTGACCAGAAGATAGTAATTATATATTCCTTTGTAGATTACACTGCATTCGTAACGAAGTACAAGTCTTGTAAAACTTAAAACAACAAGTTACTCTTCCACAGTATGTAAATTATACTGTACATTCCAAGCTTCTGCATAAATAATTTAGTACAATGTTCACTGCATCAAACCTCGCAATCCTTTGTGAAAAGCTAAAGTATATTGGAAAATAAGAAATATTGCTCTTTTACCAGAAACATTATTCTTTTCCTTGGCTACTTTCGAACAAAACTAAAAATTTTATTCACGAAAGAAAATAAGACAAGAAAAGAAAATTCAGAAGCTCGTTTCAACAAGAGAAAGAAAATATTTTTACTCGTCATGAAGAATCTTGAAAATCGAGAATTTTTGGAAAAGCACTGTTTTCCTAGTTCATTTTCACATCCCCGAGAAAACGGAGAAAGAAAAATCGGAGAGTCGTTTCAACGAAATAAAAGGAGATATTTTTATTCATAACGCAATCTCTGAAAAATTGAATATTTCTTAAGAATTAATTTTTTGGTCAATTGTTGTCACATTTAAGAGAGAAAGAAAATTCAGGAAAACTCGTTTGGACGAAGAAAAGGAAATATTTTCGTTCAACATTCGTGATCTTGAAAAATTACTTCCATCTTCGATTTTATACTGACAAGAAGTAGTGCAAAGAGAGAAAATTGAAATTCTCGTTCCTGGGAGAAAAAGGTTATTTTTCCATTCGAAAGCACCATCTTGACGAATGACTTTCCTCTTCGACTATTTTCACATTCATAAGAAGATACGTAGGAGAAAAGGAAGCAGTTTCATCCTCTTCCATGTATTTTCATATTTATCATAAATAAAATAAAAGAAGAAAGTTCAAAAATTCGTTTAAACGAAGGAAAAATAATTTTTTGTTCAACATAGCAATTTAGAAAAATTACTTCTTCCTTCTTTAATTCTTAAAATAAAGAAAAATGTTCGAAAATCCGTTTAAAGGAAGAAAGGATCATTTTTTTGTTCGATACAGCAATTTTGAAAAATTACTTCTTCCTTCTTTAATTTTATATTAACACAAAGTACCATAAAGAAAAAATTTCTAACACTCATTTAACTCAAAAAAAAAAAGAAGAAAAAGAACGAAAAAGGAGATAAAACTTTTTTTTCATTTTCACTCAGAAACTTATTTACATATAAAAAAAAAACAAATTCTGAAACTCATTTGGGCAAAAAGAAAAAGAACTTCTAAAACTCGTTTGGATAAAAAAAGAACGTCTCTTCATTGGGCAGCACAAATTTAATAAAAGCCTTTTCTTTTCTCGTGTATTTTCACATTCGCAAGGCATAGAATAAACAAGGAAAATTCTGAAACTCATTTGGACAAAAAAAGAAAAATTTTTAAACTCATTTGGATAAAAAAAGAACGTCTCTTCATTGGGCAGCACAAATTTAATAAAAGTCTTTTCTTTTCTCGTGTATTTTCACATTCGCAAGGCATAGAATAAACAAGGAAAATTCTAAAACTCATTTGGACAAAAAAAGAAAAATTTTTAAACTCGTTTGGATAAAAAAAGAACGTCTCTTCATTGGGCAGCACAAATTTAATAAAAGCCTTTTCTTTTCTCGTGTATTTTCACATTCGCAAGGCATAGAATAAACAAGGAAAATTCTGAAACTCATTTGGACAAAAAAAGAAAAATTTTTAAACTCATTTGGATAAAAAAAGAACGTCTCTTCATTGGGCAGCACAAATTTAATAAAAGCCTTTTCTTTTCTCGTGTATTTTCACATTCGCAAGGCATAGAATAAACAAGGAAAATTCTGAAACTCATTTGGACAAAAAAAGAAAAATTTTTAAACTCGTTTGGATAAAAAAAGAACGTCTTCTCATTCGACAATACAAATTTAACAAAAGCTTTTTTATCTCGTATATTTTCACACTCGCAAGGAATAGAATAAATAAAGAAAATTCAGAAACTTATTTGGACAAAAAAATTTTTTTTGTCACTGTATAATAGAATCTTGATGAAAGATTTGTATCTCTATTTTTGCATTCGCAAAAAGTAAACTCGATAAAGAAAATTCCTAAACTCGTTTGGACGAAGAAAATGAAAGTTTTTCGTGCGATAACGCGATAAGGCAGCCTCCGTGATCGCTCACAATTACAGGCATAAATTCATAAGCCGTAATAATAATAAAGTTACGGCATAAAACTAGACAGTGGGAAGAGAGAAGGAGAGATTGCAACGTGGCCACCAGCCGGCCGCCGGATTAATAAATCTCAATTACGCGAGTTAATACCGGGGGCAATTCTCTCCCCTGGCGTTCGCGAGGAACCGGATACGAGGGTGAAGGCATTTCTATCGGGCATTGTCGCTGGAACAATGACGATGACGATTCTGCGGAACCGCCTTCGCTTGTGTAAAGTGCGGTCGCAACGTCGTTGAAATTTATCGCAGTTTACTGATGGGCACCCCTCTTGTTAACGGCCTTTCGTGAAACGTCATGAAAAGCCGATTAAACGTTATTTCTTTTTTACATATTGTAGACAGACGGATTGGTGGTGGTGCATATATTTATTTAATAACGATACATATTTATTAAACGATTGCTTAGAACCGTATTTTGTAGTTCTTAACCCATTTGCATCATTAAACGGAATAATCCGTACCCCATAACTGTGGTAATAGTTACATAGATTTTTATGAAAAGTAAAAATAATAAAAATTGTTTACTATTGTATTTCCTAATCTACATACCATGAATATTATATAAATACATAAGAATTCTGTCTTTCTTTCTTAATTACTTCAAACAAATATAATCTCATCTTTTCTACCCTCAGGCTCATGAGTTAATCTTAATTATACATTATATAATATTATAATGTATATATATTATTATCATAGTAAACAATTACAGATATTATAATAAATAATTGACTTTCGTCGAAGCAGAAACATAGTTATATTATATCATCCATTTATATGCAGCATACCAGTTAATTAATGTCATCCATGTACAGGATGTCTCAGCAAGGGTAATACAAATGGGACGGGGGTGATTCTACGTAAAAAGACAAATCGAAAATGAAGAATGAAATTTTTCCATTTGAAGCTTCGTTATCGAGAAAATCGCCTTTGAATATTCATTGAGTATGCGTGCACTTAACTTTGGCAAAGGAGAATGGACCATAAGAATACCACCCTAGTCGGTGAATATTCAAAGTCGATTTTCTCGATAACGAAGCTTCGAATGGAAAAATTTTATTCTTTATTTTCGATTCGCTTTTTCACGTAGAATCACCCCCTTCCAGGTTATACCACAGATATTGATGTATCGATGATCTATCCATCTAAGCCATAGTCCAATACATACTCGGTGAATATTCAAAGTGGATTTTATCAAGAACGAAGCTTCGAATGGAAAAATTTTATTCTTTATTTTGATTTTCTTTTTCACGTAGAATCACCCCCTCTTCGGTTGTCCTACCGTTACT